GCCGCTGCCTCGCCGCTCCTTTTCCCCAACCAGGGACGTTTCTGACAGCGAGGTAAAATGCAAAGCACTGGGGATATCAATTGCTCAAAGGAGGGGGCACAAGGGGCTGGGAATTCCTTTTGGGTTTTGTGCAGTAGCACCTCACCACGCTTGCTGTTTTTTCAGGGCTATTCCCAGAGAAAGTGGTTCATCTCCATGCTAACAATTATTGAATTTTATTATTAAGCATGATGAAATGTGGCAGAGAGGGGAAAAAAATGAGCAAAAAGGCTCCCTAGACAGTGTGTTCACGGCATGGCCTTAGGTGATATTATTAAGCACATGGACTGAAAGCTGAGTAGATTTACCCTGTGCAGCCAGGGATGCTGCTGGCTTTTTTTTTTTTTGGTGCTTTTGCAAAGTGAAATTTATTCATGAACACAAACTGGAGGCCATCCTGCTGATGAGTGTTTCCAAACACTCCAGACGTGGCTGTGACGTCGCCCTCAGACAGACCCAGAGCTCCAGCCAGAGATCCAGGCTCTCCCTCCCTGCCCTCTCCTGCAACACGCTGCCTACCCTGTGTCTTTAACAGTGCTCAGAGTCCAGAAAAGACTCCACAGCTTCATAAATGATTAATATAGCCTTCGTTAAAAAAAAAAAAAAATAGATAAAGAATGCTGCTGCACCAGAGAGCACCTAACCCTGGCAGAAAAAAATACAGTGCTGTCACAGTCTGGTGGCAAGCCAGATTTCACTGCCTTAAATCACCATTAAGGTTTTCCCTAAGTTTGATGGAAACTTCTCTTTTTTTAATCCCGTATACAAATCAGAGAAAGTCCCATGTTAGCATGTGATAAAACACACACACATAAATATGTGAGCAGAGTGTGGCTGCGGAGCCGTGGGGATGCATCCTCTGGAGGCTGCAGTGCCAGGCAGGGAGCCCTCAGTGAGCTTTAGAGAGATTAATAATTCTCATGCCTTAGTTTATTTTTTATTGGGTCTATCCCATGGATTTTTCCCAGTGCCAGAATTGCTGAAGATTACAGCATTTCAATTTGCATCCCCTCCCCTGAATTTCTAATCTGATTCAGCAGGTGCTGAGGACCCACCAAACAGGCATGGAGTACCCAGGCTTGGAGTTGCTGTGCTGAGCTGGAGTCTGGAGTGCGTGGTGTCACAGTTTGGCTCACCTTTGTAATGTTTTCTTCCTATTTTTTGTTCCCCAGTTAATATGGAAGTGGGTATGATTAGTGTAAACAAGCCAGAAAATTTTAATAAGTAGGGTGAAGATTTCTAACAAAAACTGTGTGTGTTGAGATGCTCAAGGCAGTCAGCACAAAGGTGCAGATCCCTCCCTGCTTCCCACCATCGCTTGGCAATGGTGAGAATGGCAGTTTTTAAATATAAATCAGAAAAAATAATTTAAATTTATTAATTGTGTGGTGTGAAAACTAGGTAAGTTAATGCAACTGAATACAGCAATTTTTTTTTTCTTTCTCCTGATCTTTAGGTGCTTTTCAAAAGGTGTTTCCTCATATTTTTTCTGTGTTTATGACCATGATTTGATTTTAGCAGAAGTAATATTATTGTTCAGAAGTAATATTATTGTTTATGCTGCTGTTTCATGTACCATGCCCTTAACTTTCTTTGCAGCAAATGTTTATAAAAAGGAGACAGTGACAAATAAACCCCACTGCAGGTTTGCCCTGTTATTTCTGGACTGTAGATCTTGCCTCAGTGTGAGCTGGCTGAGGAGTCTGGGGGACTTGCTGTTCTGTCTAATTTCTGTTTGCTGCCAGGTAAGTCTGAGCAGCCCCTGTTCAGGGAAAAGCTGCAATTATAGCTGTGATCTTGACACCAGAGTTCACCTGAATTTCAGGAGAAGTTTGTGGAGATTTGGAAGCTAATGAGCTGCAGCCCAAGCAGGGGGAGAGCTCTGCAGCCACTTCTTTAGTGGGGCTGATGTTCCTCGACACTGGGTGTTATTCAGCTTTTCTGTCTTGCTCTGGGCTCACAGAGTGCACGTTCTCTCTTTATTTCTCCAAGACTTGGCTCTATTCTGCATTATCAGGGTTGTCTTGTACAAAGAATTGTATTGATGGAATGAAAGTTAGCAGTGAAAAAAAAAACCAAAAAAACAACAAAACCAGCCCATGAGATATGATGAATTAGCTGCAATTTCAGTGGTAAAAATGGTCTCTCATAGCTGGCTATTAACTACACTCTGGTGAATACATTTTCATGCAAGAGATGGTTTGCTATTTCAAAGGACTCTCATTGAGACTTGATCAAGTTATTTTCAAAAGTTTAAAGTATTATTAGCTGTAAATCCTGCTGCTCAATTTTACAGTCATGTTTTTTTATTTGATGCTGCTTCTCTGTGTATATTCTGGGTGGGCACTGAAGGAAAAGTGGAGCTAACTACCCTGGAGAAACGGGAATCACAGAAATGCTTCCCTGTTACTCTGGCTTTAAGGAAGTATGACCTTGTATTTCATGGTGCTGTGGAGAAGCTGGAAATCACTCCCTCACCAGCATGCCTGCATTTCTAAGCTGCAGCCAGGACTCTCCTTATCTTTCACAGAGCACAGTCACTGATGTGCCATCATGGGTCATTTGTTAAAAAACTCTGTTTGCTATTTTTAACGCTCAGTCGAGGGGAAATTTTTTTTTTGTTTTGTTTTATTTTGGTTTTAGATTAACAAGGAAAGGAAAAATCTAGCCAGCATGGCAGCTCAAAAAGTTCAGCAAAACGAATGCTGTCAGATCAATGTCTCTAAGAGACGCAAGACAGCAGAGGTTGCTGCCTGAGAGCCCATCAGGAAAGGCTGGTCCTGAGCAAGCCTGGGAGATGAACGTTACTGAAGAGCCACTGATCAAAACAATTAATAATTGACAATTCAGCAGAGTGGCTAATGAGTTCTGTATGGAACAACTACCCCCTCACCTGAAGAAAGAAGTTTCTTTCCAGGTCTGGACTGGCCTGGACTGTTTCTGCAAATGATCTGAGGGGCATCTTGGATGCACTAATGCCATCGGAAATTTGAAATCTGTAAGGTATTGGATCATCCTGCATTTACTGTGGCTCTGCAGGGAACCTTAATTACAGAGAGGAAATGACTTGCCTACATTTGCACTTTCCTGCCTTGCCATTGAATTCATCATGGTCAGTGTTTTCCTTGTCTACTTTCAGTATACTCGGGCTCTAACCTCAGTGGATCCTTCACTCAATCCCAGTTAGCCCAGGCCAGTGCCAAAGGAAAACTCAGCTGCTGAACTCAGCTTGACTCAGTTCAGTCAAGTCTTAAAATATTTGATCTTGTTTTTGTGTCTTGGGGAAGGCACTGACTTAATATAAACATGTCTGTTGAAAAGGAGTTTTGAGTGTGCCCAGTGCCACTGTGGGCAGGAAATGGAAATGGAGACCTGTTCTGCTGCAGCAAGGCTGCCCTGCTGCACCACCTCCTTTCTTCTTTCCTCCAAGACATTGCTGGCATCTAAAAGTAATTCTATCATGGTGGCACATGGTTCCTCCTCTTAGGATGCCTTGTGAGTCAGGCTCACATAGGATGTGAATATTTTCTAAGTTCACTTTGCTGTCCATGGCACTTCCAGGGGCACAGAGCCAACAGTGAGAGAACAGGCTCTGCTCAGCCTGTCACACTGAGCTGCACCAAGGTTTGTTTGCTAAGTTCCTCCTGACTCTAGTACTGCGCAGGGGTGTGGACTTACCCCATTTCCTTTTCAAATGCACAAGCTGGAGCTAAAGCTGGAATTGTGGATGCAGGTTTTCCTGGCCTGCAGAGTGAGCTGGTTTCACAGGAGCATCATCAAGGGAGAAGAAGTACAGAGAGAACCTGTGTGATCTTAGACACTCCTAAAGCCCACCTTGATGCTTCTGAGTGAGTTCTCAAACAAAGCAGGTAAGCAAGGGCTTCTCTCTCAACCCAGTCGTGTAGTGCCTTCCCTCTTCTTTGTCTGCCCCCTCCCCAAAATCCCCAGGCAGGCAGTGAAATCCCACAGGCTGCAGGATCAATGCTCTGCCCTGTTACCAGGTTACCCACCACTAAATCTGCGAGGGACTCAGGGACATTCTCTGTGACTGAACAAGTGACTGCTCTGTCCTGGGGGTATAAATCTAATGCAAGCTTGTCAGCATAAGCCTTGTATATTTATGGGAAGCTTTCAGAGGAGCTGCACGGGATCAGAGCTTCTGTTCAGCTCCAAGGCACAGCATCCCCGGCACAGTTGTGAATGGAGAGCCAGGTCCCAGGCACACTCTGCTGCCTCACTGCCGAGCCCTGCGCAGCACTGATGCTTTTGTACTGATTTGTCACTCCTGGAACCGGTGTAAGAGACCTGGAGTGGGAGCATGAAGGATGGAAGTGACACCAGGGTAAGGGCAAGGAACATTGGCACTATATTTAGGGCAGAAGCAGATAGTGGTAACAATTGCAAGGATCATATATAATGCAGTAAAACTGTCTGCCTGAAATATAAACAAAAGCCCTTTCCTGAGGCAGTGAGGGGTGATCAGTCATGTTGACAGTCTCCTCAGCTAAGCAGCCAGGACATCTCATTCAGAGAGCATGGACCAAGTGTAGGGCACTGCTGATTCCTTTAAAAGCATCCTGGAAACAGCATCCTTGCTCTGGGGCAGAGCAGAATGTCTCCTTTCCAGATGTTTTACATGAGCTTCATGAGTGTGTTCTGGCACCTTTGGTGTCTCCTATACCCTGAGCAGTACTAGGGTGGTATGTGCCAGGATGCAGCAGCAAATTGGAGAATTTGGCTTAGTTTGGAGTATGTTCAGAATCTGAGCAGCTTGCTCAAGGAGATATCTTGGTCAGCTGTATTGGATCACAAACCAAAACATAATTTAACTCCTGGATACATTAATTCTGCTTCTAGGGTATTTCCTTTAGCAAGCAAACCAGCAGAATTCTCTGTTCTGCATATATTTGCCTCAGAACTGAGGAATGGACTCTGCTTTGATCTGCCCTTTCACGTTTTTGTTTTTTTTTTTTTTTTTCCCAGCTCACATGGAGTAATTGGAAAAATTTCAATATCCTTCCTATACTGTTTTTACCCTTTCCCAAGAAATCCCCTTTTGGCCACTCTCAGTGAGAAGATGCTGGCTGGATCTCAGCTAGCACATTTATACCTGTATTGTGCTGAGAAGTAAAACTGCTCTGGTTCTTCAAGGAGCAGAATGAAGCAGATGCCGCCCATTCCTTCCCAGGTAATTCTCACATTCTGGAGATCATCATCATTTCCAGGCAGCACCAATAAAATAGTGACAGAGAGCTCTGTGAGCTCCTGACTGCCTCATGTGCTCCCTGTCCGTTGCTAATTCTTTACCTGCTCTAGTTTTAAAAGCCTCGGAAGAATGAAATTCCACTCTGAGATATCCAGATACAATTCAAGAACAAACCCTTCAAAGTGGTAGGAGGAAGGTAAGAGATACAGGGGGAACCTGATCCCCAGGCTCCCCACACAGGAGGAAGGCATTTGATTGCAGCTTTATTGTTCCTCATATCAAAACTGACAGACTGCCAGGAACAAGAGGCTGTCCCTGGGGAAAGTGGCCCAAGACTGGGCTAACAGTGGCTCCTCTGGGTCCAAGAGCAAGTGGCAGGGTGTCCTGTGTTGGTTATATGATGCTTGTATCCCCAGTTGTCTGTTCTGTTTATGCTGGATAAATAGAACAGTTTTCTCCCAAAATGTCTTTCAAAACTTCTCCCAAAATTTCTCCCAAAATTGCCTTAAACCAGGACACAGGGAGAGGCTGGAGCTGGTGGCAACTGCGATGCTGCTGTGCATTACTGAGGCTGCCACCAGCAAAGTGCCCCTTCCTATCTGCTCCCAGCCTTGGCTACCAGCCCTTCATTTACACATGTAATAAATTCACTTGTTAATTAGAAGAAGTAAATATGATGAGCTTTTGATATAGTTCAAAGGAGCAATAGCCAGCTTCTTGATTCCCAGGTTGGCAGCCGTCCTTCCTCTGTGCCCCAGAATCAAAGTGCAGCCCTTGCTCCAGTAACTGTCAGGCTTTTTACATCTTTTGATCAAAAGCCTGGCTGCAGAAAGAGGAAAAACCAACACCCAACTGTTTGGATCTTTTCCCCTACAATTATTATCACATCCATTACTCAGCAGAAGCCTGGGATGCCCTTTCATTCTTACACAAATACTTTCTTTTGGGATTCATTTAAAGTTTCCTTGTGCATGAAGTGGTCACTTGTCAGCCATCCACCTGAAAGGGTGAGGCAGAGAAAGCACAGTCAGCTAAAAAGGAGCCCTGGCTTCAAGCATTTATAATGAATATTGACAAAAAGAGGGGGTGGGGAGGAGTGGGAATCAAAAGCTTGAAAATTGCTGATTAGGCAAAAGCCGACTACCTCCTGCCTATGGAGAAAATGGCATCATTAGAGGGATGCAACAGGGCTGGCATTATGCAACGCCTGGTCAGGAGTAGAGAACAGCACAGCAGCAACTCCCACTCGGAGCAGAAAAGCAGGAGACTGCCCTTCCTTCTGACTTGTGAAATTTCAGTCCTGGAAAATCCCAGGCTGTGGTGCTCCCAAACTGCATCACCTCTGTGGTCTGGGCAGCCAGAGGTGCCCCACAGACCAACACCAGGAGCCCTCAGCAGGCAGGAGTGGGGGATTCTGCCTCCCTGCCACAGACAACAGCCAGCCCTGCCTTAGGGAAGCCATGGAGTCTGGTGTTTCTCCTCCTTCTCATGTTTTACCCCTAATCTCAGGGTACAAGTGAGCCCACAGACCAGGTGACTCGAGCACATACTGGGATGGAGAAGCACCTCAGGCTCCTGGGGACCTGCAAAGGGCCAGGGGCTGGGGAGACACAGCGGGCTGAGATCCTGCACAGAGCCTTCTCTTTGCATGTGCTTAATGGTGAGTAGGGCTGGGGGTGCCAGCGATGCCAGCCTTTATTGGCCAGCCTTTTTTGGCTGTTAGGTGCCTCCCAGCTGATGAATGGTGCTCTCAGGCTGCCTGTGTGCACAGCATGAAGGAAAATCAGCAGGGCTGGGGTCTCCCAGTGTTGCTGTGCCAAGAGAGATGCAGATCACTTGATAGTTACTTTTTTTTTTAACAATCTCCAAGCATTTACTGCGAGTCAGAACTGGAAGGGGAAGCTGCAGCACTGCTTCCCATCTCCTCTCCTTTGCGCTGAGCAGACCCAGGCCCCTGGGATATGGATTTCAAGAGCAATAAATTCACTCTAAAAATTTAAAGAGGATGACGCAGAAAACTTCAAAAAAACCAAACAAACAGCTCCACACAATAAAAGCCATTTCTCTCCTGACGTCTCTCTCTAGTTACAGCGTGACACATCAAGGTCAGATACCCTGTCCCACAGGAGCTTGGCTTTGTGCAGGGCGAGAATCATCCCCTAATGGTGTGTGGTGGCTGATGTTTGGTAAGGATAAACTACTTATATAAAACCCAGGATTCTCGTTATGGGACACCATTTCCAGCAAGTGTTCCCTCTCACAGGGCAGGAAGCCCTGAGCTGAAGTGCCCTCAGGAGGTAGGAAGAGTCAAGGAGAGGTTTAACCTGCGATCGCTGCTCCCGTGTCCGACCGCGGCCCTCGCGCCAAGGAGAGCTCCCATCTGCAGCTCAATAAATCACCCATTCATGCCAGGAGGTTTCTCTATGGCAGAAGCTGAACTCAACAGCAAGAATAATAATCCATATGTTTGTAATTGTGATTAGCTCCTCTGGAAGACAAAACCCAGAAAGCTGGAGCATCACAAATGCAGCAGCGCTCAGGGCCCCCGATGCTCTTGGTCAGGAAAGGGGATGGAGCAGGGAGCCCCTCCCTGCCTGGAGCATTTTCACCCCACCAGTCTCCTCCATGGCTTGTTTGGTTTCCCTTGTTTTAGAATTTTTTTTTTCTTTAATGCAGTGAGTTTTCTTGTGCGTAGTCTCCTAAATGAATGCACAGGCTGTTTCTGGCATGCTTTAAACCTTCATGCATTTTTAATGATTTACAAGGAAAAGAATTTTTTCTCTCTTTCTCTCTTTCCTTCTATTCCCCCCCTTTTCCTCCTCCTTGATTCCCTTTTTCTTTCCTTCCAAAAAAAAAAAAAAAAAGTAATGACTTAATACATATCAAGTGGAATTGCTGGTTTGTGGCGATGGTTTTATAATTCCAGGTTCAAGTTTTTTCTATTTAATTATGCACTATAATTCTCATGAACTATAATGCAATAACAAAAGCATGCACCAGGGTTGGCACAAGTCTGTTCTTTATTAGCATGAATATGGGTACAGTTCTTTATGTGTGAAATAAAATATTTGGACCTGATGCTGAGTCTGTTTCTTTAGAGTTACACTGAGCTCTTCTTCCTTTCAAACACTGAAGCTGAGGCTCTCTGTTCCCTGTCTTGTCTGTTTCTCCCCTGATAAATTCAGTTGTACTTCATTTCATAAAGCCTTACTTGTCTGTAACTGCCTTTGTAATGCCTTAATTGAATAGAGGGTTCATACATTAACCTGAAGTCCTCTATAGTATCTTAGTTTATGAAGGTTAAAAGTGATTAACTGATGAAAGGCTGCTTGCTGTAAATATTGACATTCCCCCAACCTGCCAGGATTTTGATTAGCTCCTGAAGTTGCCTTAACATTTTTGTTTATCAGGTTATCAGCATTTCCAAAAGCTTATAAACATCAGGACTTTTCTCATGCCAATTAATGTTTGAGACCCTGAAGACAGTGCAAAACAATAAATGGTGAGTACATCCATCAGCTTTGAGTGGGACTGTGTGTGCAATATTAAGCTTGACTGTAAATATTTGCACAAACGGGACTAATTGTGCAAAAATTATTCTCGCAGGCACTGTATTTCCTTTTCATTCACTTTTGACTATACTGTTTGTAAATCATTCTTGTTTTTGGAAAGAATACTCTCTGGAGCAAGCAGGACTGCTTTTTACAGCTGCAAATGGTTTATTTGCAGGATTCTGCCTTGCCCAAAAGCAGTTTGGAGACAGCAAGTGCTGGTGAATTTTGTAATGTTTGTAGCTGGTGTTTTAGAGAATCCCTCTGAAATCTGCCTTTGGTCCTGGCTCTGACTTCTTCAGCATTTCCATAAGTGTTGCTGGCAATGAATATTTAACCCTTCTGCTTACCAGAATCTTGTAGAGATTAAAAGCTTCACAGCCTGTAAGAAGTCCGATTTTGTGTGATGGTTACCTTTGAAATGCCTTGGGAGTAGCAAAATGATATCAGGTAACTTAAGTAACCTGTCATGCCACTTATATATATATATATATATATATACAAACATTCAGGAATATTATCAGGGGCAATCAACCAGGGCAGTGTGGCTGGGTACTCCCAAGGCTGGGAACTGCTGGGATGTGCAGTGCTGCTGGGAATCTCAATTAAAAACCCTCACTGCCCCTTCCTAAGCAGCCCCCAACAGCTCCCAGCTTCTTTATTTTAAATCAAACATTGTTCTTGGGGGTTCAGGATCCATCCTTTGTGTGTCTGTTCCCACCCACAGATGTGGGGAGGGGGCTGCCTTGCTCTATATCAATTTTTTTTTAATAATCTGTTTTCATGGTTGTGTTTTCCTTTAAAACTGTGTATTGACCTGCCCAAGTCTTTTCTTTAGTGTTTGGGGTCCTGAAATTCTTCGAAATGAAGGTGAACTTTCATCTCTGGCCATGCACATGAATAATACTTCTGAAGTACTTGCAAGAGAAACAATTTGTAATCTAAAAATATTTAAGGCAATTATGTTATTCTGGGTTAGGAGAAGTACAAAGTTTGTGCTTCTATTTTTTCCTACCCAAACAATTTGATATGCATTTTTTCATTTCTGCCATCCTGGTCTGAACTTCTTAAGAGCTTATGTTGCATTAAAGACATGGATGATGAAAATATTAGTTATGGACTCATAAAGCTCATCCTGAAAAGCTGTGACATGTTGCAGACTCACTTGTAGATGGACAAAGAATTTCATAGCAATCCCCAGAGCTGTGGCACCATCAAGGAGCAGTTGCAAAGAAAGTTGTGTTCTGAAACTTGTGGTGAAGCATAAAATCAAAGAATTTTTTTTTTTGTATTAGGTGACAAATCTAAGAATTATTTGGTTTGCCAATATTTCACTGATTCAGAAAAATTTTCAGTAAAGAGTGAGATGTGATGGTTTTGACAGAGTTCTGCTGTCCTCCTCCATCCCTGACTGCCTTTACTGTCCCACAAGCCCTTAGTTTAACCAAACCTTTTTTGTTCCCTCCACATCTTTCCCACTCAGCCACAGGAAATCAACATCTGGACACAGACACCCTTCTGTTCCATCAGCCAGGAGTGCAAGTAAGCACCAGGCCAAGTTCTCCAACCAACACATTGTCCCATGTCTCTGGAGAGCAGGAGGGTAAATAAATCACCTTCTTTTATGTATAAATGCCATTTATACTGAAACTGTGCTGCATTTTAATAAAAACACTATAAGGTGTGCTGCTTTAATCTTAAGAGGACAACGTCTTTACCTTTTTTTTGCTACTTGATGTGTTCCTAAGGGTGTGATGCACATTCAGCTGCTGGTTTACTGCTGACTGAGACCTTTTCATTTTTCAGCTGTCTTTGATACCTGGCTTTCCTACTTTTGTGCTCAGGCTTTAAAGTGAACCCGGCGGCTGAGTGCTGCAAAGGTGGGGTGGCTTCCTAAATTCTCTTCTTGAGCCTCATACGTGTGTAAAGATGTGCTGCTGCCTGCTCTAAGGGGTGGGCACTGTAATTGGGTGGGAAAGCCAAAGGCACTGCCAACATCTGCCTGGCATTAAGGCAGGCAGGTTTCAAAGGCACTGAAACTGCCAAGTTCCTCTGGAAGTGAATGGGTGTGTGCCATCCCTTTGAACTCCTTGCAAAATCCAGGCTCTGTCTGCTGGGAAAAGGAAGTTTAACCTTTTTGTGTCAGCTCCACCTCCCTCACCTCTTTATGATGCACTGGAAAGTAATCCTGCTCCTCCCTGGAAGAGCAGATCTCCCTGAATACCCATCCTGCCAGGATGAGCCACTTCCACGAGTCACTGCTGTAGAGGCTTCCCCTCCTTTTGACTGAAAGGTGTTTAATGAATTTCATCTGAAATGTATCCTGAATTAGCAACAGCCAGGCAGATGTAGCTATTCTGATGCTGGGTGTCAAAAAAAAAAGAAATTTTAAAAAGCCAAAAAAGGCACTTTACAAAACTGAGACTCTGAAAGGATGAAGCCAGGGGACTTCCTGGGAGCAGAGCTTCTCCTCTGCCACTCTGGATCCCATCCCAGCAGCCCTGTCTGGTCCTGTCACCTGGTGCTGGCTTGCAGCACTGTGACACCTCGTGGCATGGCACAGCCAGCCCTGCTGGGATGGATTATTGATGCTGAGGAAATGGGAGGGTTACAAGGGCTTTGTTCAGAGCTGCTGAGCCAAATAACAGTACAGAAGTAGCTAAAAGCAGGGAGTGCCCATAAATTCCCAAATGTGCTTGTTTAGCCATTGATTTAGATGTCTGGCCATTTATTCTGGTTGCCCAAAGCTTCAGTTGTATTTTTCTTGTATTTTCAATGGTGACTGTAAGTGTTACAGGGAATCATGTGGGGAAAGCAGGACCTCAGAGGCAGCTGCAGAGGAGCATTGCCTGGAAAGCTGCTCTCAGAGCCTAGAGGGGTGGAAAAAAGGAGATTTGTGTGTCCTCATGAACTTATCTCCAGTCACCAGGGGAAACAGTGAGCAAATCCTACAGCTAAAGAAATCTGTAAGGCTTTTGGGACTCCTGTGAGTTGACAGAAGGTGACATCCAAGTTGGAGAGGGTCCCCAAAGGCCTGGAAGAAGTGCCAGAGCAGCTCCCCGAGCACTGCCCACCTCTCCTTGTACGTGTCACGGCCTGGCCGCGCAGCAACGCCACTCGCTGCAGAGCTTGTCAAAGCCATAAAAACATCAACTTCTGCATTTCAGCCCTGTAACCGACACATGCACAGCACCCTCCTCACATCAACAACCAGCAAGGGCTGCCTTTGGCTTTCTGCTGGAGTGACAACTGGGATGAGGCTTGTGAAGGCTGACCTAGAGCAGAGACTGGACGGAGCTAAAGAATTAAGTAGGGATTTATTAAGAGGCCTCAAATAGATCCACCTTGGGCAGTACAATCCAAAACAGCCACAAAATGGACAAGAGGTCATGGAGTCTCTCACTTTTATAAGTTTTGGTCCATTAGCATATTGGAGTTAATTGTCCAATTCGACCTTTAGCCTGTGAAGTCCCATCCTTCTTGCTTTTCTCTCTTCAGCCCATGTTGTTTGTGCTCTTGGGCCTGAGATCTGTATCAGCTGTCCTTGGTCCACAGCTTTGTCTCCCTACTCTGTGAAGAGAACTCACCATCCCCTCATATGAAGCCTTGCATACTAAAGCAGAATAGAATCTGAAAAATATAAAAGCTAAAACCTGAGGCACCAAGAATGTCTCCCACCCTCCTGACACGGGGCTGTGCTTCAGGCAGCTGCCTGGCACTGCTGCCTTCACACAGCTCTGAAGGGAGCTGAGCTCAGAGGGGTTTTGGGGAGCATGAAGGTCTGACAGCTGCACCACTGCCACCAATTTAAAATAGGCTGTGATGGCCAAAGGATAGCTGGAGTTTTTAGTGCTGGTGTTGTCACCATTGCTTGTGCTGAGTGGGTTGGGTATTTCAGGCTGCTGCAGCTACTGGTTTGCTGTGAACAATATTTAGAGCAGTTGTTTCAAAAGATATCTGTTAAAAAAGCATCACTAATGTGTATCTCTGGGTAGAAAACCCATAAGTTTAGGGGGTGAATCTTGGCAGCTGTTGATCAAAAGGGGATCCCTACACTTGAAGAGATTAAAAAAAGAGGCAGCTGAATGGTGTGGGACTATTGTGGAGCGTGGAGCTGTGTGTGACTGTGGGCACCAAGTCCATCAGACCTCTCAGAGCACACTTGTGTTTAACATCCACCCCTAGAAAGCCACAAGGGCTTAGACAGAGGCCTAAGAGCAGCTGCTCTCTGCCTGTCACACACACCTGCAGCAGGCAGGGGTGCAGCAAACCACAGCCCCTGGCCCCCAGAGCACTGCTTCAAGGGAAGCTGCAGGAGTTTGGAGCATGGTTTGATGGCTGTGCCAGAGGTCAGGTCTTTGGAGCCTGAGTCACGTTCCAATAGACTCCATGTGAGCCTCTCCACTGATTTCAGGGCTTTGTATTGGTCCCTTATCTGTGATTAAAACTTTTTTTGAAATGAAACTTGGCAGGAAAGCCAGGTGTGAGTGTTATTCTCCTGGCACGGAGCCAGTGCAGCCCCTGGTCTCCAAAGGTTGGTGGCCTTGGTTTTTGCACTCCTTTGCCTATTGTTAGAGCAACATCCTTCTGTTTCAGACTGTTTTTTTTTTTTCTTTTTTTCTATTTGCAGAAGTGACTGGCCTTGCTGCACACATGGAAGTTTTAATAATTATCCCCAAGCAGCTCTGAGAGTTTTTTAACATGGAAACAAGTTCTACATTACTCGTTAAATTGGTCAAATTTCAATAAAGTCAGGAAAACATCTTGAAAACAGCATGACTATAATTTACAAAGAAAACAATCCAAGCGTTACTGCCAAAGAGTTTTCCAACAGGAAGGAAGAAAGAATTTCTCTTTCCCCCCACACAGAATGACTGTACTGTACGTTAAATTAGTGGTTTTGGGAGTGAAGGAAACCACCACAGGATCCATGATGTTAATAAGAGTGAAGCTGGTACCCGATGTGAGGATAGGTCCTGATTCTTTGTTGCCTTCCTAGGTAGGCTGTATGAGTCCTGGCTGCCAAAAATCATTCCTGTAAGTAGCTCTGCATCAGCTTTTCATCCTAGAGGAGCTCTTGCTTGCTGTGTTTTTAAGTGTAGCTGTCAAACTCCATGCAGGGGCTGACGTCTGGATTCTCAGCAAGGATGCAAGTACATGAGATGCCCTCTTTCCCCTAATACACATTGTCCTTTAATTAATCTGCTGAATCAGAGTCTGCATGAACCAAGTCCAAACCCATAGGCTGACCTGTCCCGCTGCAAACCTCTCTGGAGTCCTCAGATCAATGAATCTCAGTGCCCAAACCACGGTGCTCTGACCCTGGCTAAAGAGTGTCAGATGAAACCTTTGTGATTTTCCTACTAAGAGTAGAGAGACAGGCAGTGTAGCAGGGCACTGGCAGCAAATATAATGCTTATTTCTTAACAAAGTAAATTCAGAGGCCTACATGCTGTGTTACATGTCCAAGCCATGGAAAGGGGTTTTTACAAGTAGGCACTGACTGGAGGCATTATTGTTGTAATTGCTTGTACTATCAACTGCACTACCTGAAAGGGAAATATAAACCAGACCCAAACTTGCCTGATGATAGAATGAGATGTAAAACTACAACTGTGTCTGGTGACCACATTTCGCAATTTTGAGATGCTTTTGCACTGACATGAAAGGTAATCTTTCCAAGTTTTTTGCAATATGAAACTCAGACCTCAAGATTGGGGTCTGGACTGATTGTACATTCTCCCCTTTTGTTGAGAGATACAAGTTAATCCACGCTGAACTTCACAAACTTTTCTGCTGAAATCTCATGTGAAATCAAAGTAACTTTTGAAAAACATTTTCTTTTTGGTAAAAGCATGATTTTTGCTTTAAAATAACCTCACCAAGCCTTTTAATAAGAACAGCTCCAATGCATTTTCTCTGTCAGTTTTGTACATAACCTTCCCCTGAGGTTCCTTTGCAACTGATAAAGAATGGGAGAGTGCAAAACCAACAAATACATTTTTGGAAGAGTTGTGTTTTGCAGTGAGGCTGCTGCACTGTTTAGTGTATGGCACTTTCAGAAATGTTGTGAGGTTTAATTAACTAAAGCACTTTATCATCATTAGAGAAATGCAGTTCTATGAGGTTATTACAAGACTTTCTAAGGGTAACATCTGTATAGGAAAGAATTAATATTTCAAACTAGTGACAAACTATTGTTTTGCCACCAATAGCATTGTGGGGAGAAACATGGAATGGGCACAGCTACTTAATTAAATTATTGTGCACTTTTTTTCCTCTTCACTGTTATTTTAACAGCTGTGCTCCATCTCTGAGGCATATTTGTCTTTATCTTTGGCTACTTTGTCAGAGTTGGCAGAACGAATCTTAGGTGGGGTTGTTCTCTTAGCGAATTAAACAATGACCAAAACTTTGCTCATTTCTTCCATCATTATTGCAGATTTCCATGGCTTCATTTTGACTGAGCAATATATGGCTCTAGTCTGGAATATGGGAACAACTCAAGGACTGTAGGGCCTTCGAGGGCCTGCCTTTTGCAGAAGAGTGTTCAGGGAGTGCTCTGTGCCATCCACCTACTCACAAAGACAATACCGTAAAATGCTTTTCCAGCATTTTAAAGTGCATAGAAGTGCTCAGGTCTATAGTTTGTGCTCAGGCAAAGTAATGCACTGATGACATTTGGATTTTATCTGAGCTAGGTAACAATTATAGGTAATAAATACTATTTAATATAAGTTGTTTGAGATCCAAGCAGTTCCAGTGTTTTCTGTTTCTTCATTTTAGTGCCTGGTGACCATCGGAGGATTTAATTTGCCAATAGATGCTACAAATACCAAAGCCACCTCTATCTGCTGCTGTGACAGAATATGATCACAGAAAAAACCAGGTACTTGCCTTTGCTGATCTCTAAAGTCTCCTTCTGGCAAGTTTGGCAAACTTCTGTAAGAAATCTGTCTTTGAAGCTCACACTTGTATTCCGGGATTGTTGTTTGCTTGTGTCGGTCTCGGTGCAGAGAGCAGGTAAAGAGGGCAAGGAGCAGGACAGGTAAAAACAGCACAGAGAAATGTCAAGAGAGGAATCTGAGGAGAATTTAAGGAAGCAAAATGCTCAGGCACTGGGAGCAGTGGGAGAAGAGGGTCCCAGAAGTGGGACCATGGCTTCTGTCTGTTTTTTTACAGAAAGTCCAAAGTCTATTGTACCTCCTGGGGTCTAGTGGTGATGGCATGGTTACTAGTTGCTGTTACAGATTTCAGGAATGTCTCAGGAAAACCTTCCCCTCTGATATTCAACTGAGCAAAAAAAAGAAGGCCAAGTTCAGATGTTTAAAAAGATGCAGGTTGCAGTGCCCTGGTGTCAGCTCTGTTTGCCCTGGGTCAGTGTGGCTGAACACTGCACTCCTGAAGTTGGTTTGTGGCCATTGAGGTCTTGGGCAGAGGGAGCTCTCTCACAGGGTGTCAGCCACAGCCTGGGTTTCCGTTCTGTTCTCTTTCCCTTGCAAAATTCAAAAACAAATAGTCAAAACCCCTCTCTGCCAGACAGGCTAAACCACCTGCAAGATGCTCCAGAAAATCTAAACAATGCCCATGAATGCGCTGGGCAAGGTTTTGTGGGCCAGCTGGTATGTTTTGGTGTGTCCCTGGAGATTCCTTAAAGGGCTGCAGCAGGACACAGAGCCTTCCTCTGAACTCTGCCTCAGCTGCTGACAGCCACATCCCTGTGAGTTAATTCCAGCTGTACACCCAGAGCTGAGTGTTGGCAGGGCTGTGAGGATGGCAACTGCTCAGGGGCTGTGACACCTGCTCATCTCCAGTAGAAACTACAGTCAGTCAGTGCCCAAGTGTGACCAAACCTTCCTGCAGGAACCTCCTCACCCAGTGCCACTTGCTGGTGTCCCTTACTGCTGGTGTGCTGAAGTGTTATGGTGATCTTTTGGCAATCTCTGATAGAAGAAATAGGACTCCAATTTAGAGCACAAAGAGAAGGCTCAAGGAATCTATCATTATTAATCCTGCTGTCAGTTTTAATTTTGGGGACATTACCTCACTCAACACTCGATGGAGAGAGCTGCCAAAAATGGTGATGTCATCATCACCAGGCACATCTGACCCTGGCTGCTGATTGCCAGTGTTGAGTGCAAGTTAATAAATCCCCTGGTACCTGGATACACTCTGGAGTTTTATTACAATGTAGGCATTCCGTGATACCCCAGTAATTAAACAGTCTGGGCAGGAAAGGAACCAAGCCACCATTTTCTCCTGTTTAGAGGAATTGTAAAATATAATTGTCTTTCAGGTCAGCTTCGTACAACTGTCATGTAAACCTTTGTCTGGATTGTGAGGAAAGTTTGGATGTAGGCAGAAATTCAAGATGAAATATAAGTGAGAAATCAGATCTGCTTCCCCAGATTGACATTTGCAGAACAAAGTGGCTCCTGACAGTCAGGGCACTCCACCTCCAAGAGGCAGAAACATTTCCACTTCTAGGGAAAACTGCAATTCTGACATCTACATATGGATTTGGGAGTGAGGATCCCACCACTGTCTCCCTGCCATGGCTGTGAGCTCCCTGCCACGGGAATTTTGGGTGCTGCTCAGAGCATCCAAGTCTGAACCCAGTCTCAAGTCCTGAATAGGAGCAACACAGATTTCTTGTGAGTGAGGGATCTTAGCTCATCTCCAGACGTAGCCACAAGATGAGACAGACACAGCATTCATAGGGTTGCCACATTCCCATGGCAGTAGCAGCATAACTTCTCCCAAATTTATAGAGCCCATTGAATAAAAGAGCAATTGAAGAAGTCATGTTGATGAAGCAAAGCCTTTGAAAATGGGAGCAGAGCTGGGGATTTTCACACCAGAGAAAGCTTTCAAGTCACGCTTGTTTGGTGCTGACATCTGTTTACCTTTAGAGGTCTATAAATAATATTACCTTTCCTCTTTACTGACTGCTGGAGATGATGCTTTGCTTCTGTTTATAGACCCCCTCCTCCTCTATCTTGATATTGGTGTTATCTGGCTGAACAATTTGACATCATCATCATCACAGAGGTTTCTCTATCTCTATAACAACGTGTGATGATGCCACAAACAGAGGATTATGCAATCTGAGCTGGCTCAGATGGAAGGAGAGGCAGGGCTGGGACTTCTGCTTTAAGCACAAATATCTCTAATAACAGTACGGGGAATACAGAAACTTGTTAGCAAAGGAAATGGTTTTTTGGTATAAACATTCTCTCTTCCAAGATTTCCTCTGGTAGGAAAGTCCCTTCTTTAAGTCCTTTTATACACATACATGTATTATATATGCACAGTCACAGATATTTGTGTGTAAATAAATAAATGCAAATACAAAATAATTCCTAGGATTTGTAGAGGTGTTGCCAGTTCCTTGCTCACAAACGCTAAAGCATCCAGGATCTCCTGAGCTTCACACATCCCAAGTAAAAAGGTGCTCTGGGTCTGCCCAGACCTCACACTCCCTTTTGATTCAAGGTCTGCCCTGCCAGCCCTGTCCTCTGTGACATCTGGGGACATTGGTGTCCTTGGCTGGATTGGATTTCTTCTTTGGATTCTTCTTTTTCAGACCCACCCTGGTCTTTTCTTGGTTTGTCCTGTGGTAAAAGCACAGCAAAAATGTAAAGGGAGTTAAAAAAACTCTGCCTTCCCAAAAGCTATTTAGCAAACCTTAAGAAAATGCCCTCTTCATGCCTCAGTTTCCCTAACAATAGGGAAAATAAATCTCATTCTTAGGGAGGCATTGAGGATAATTTTTCTCTTGTTTTTGAGTGCCTGACATTTTGGTGAGGGCATCCATGGCCACTTTGGAAAACATGCTTGTCTATCTTATTTTTATTGAACATATGAATGCGTCCTATCTAGCACATGTTGTCAGAATCAATAACTGTCTCTTGTTACCAGTTTTTCCATTTATGGCATATTGTCCTGACATAGCTGTAAAACCTCAATGAATATGGTTTTAATAACCCAATGGTATTTAATGTACAATCGCTGTCTTATTAAGTCTAAATTAAATCCTTACTTGAGACACTTAATTTAAAGTGTGACTGATCTTTTCCTGGCCTGGAAGGAGATACTTAAGTGACACTTCTTCCAATTTGGCCACATGGCTAAGAGGGTGGGATTTAAATAATATATTTTGATGATACCACTCATCTGGTTAAAGCTGAATTGCATCATTTTATGAACACTCAGAGACAAGATCAAATTAAACCCAACTTCCCACCAAGTTAGCTCAGCTGAGTTTCAGAGCTTAATAGTGCATTCAAAACATACACTTATTGTGACTATCCACTCATCAGCATCTGCTTGGCTTTTCCAAAGGAAAAAATGAACTGCACCATATTTTTCTACTCAGAGCCTCTTGTGGGGTGCCTTTAGAGTTGACAAAGACAAGGCTTACATTCTGCTGTGGGCACACTAATAAAATAAACCTAATAAAATAAACATTACATGCAATAACGATGCTACTAAATCTAAGTTCAATGTGTAGCTAAAGTGTTACCCACAGATCTATTTAGAGTGATGTGCCTGGACTCTTTTTCCATCCTTTTCCAACCAAGAGTCACATAAACATTTGCTAAATTGAAAGCGTCATCATAACCAATGGGAGCTCCACAAGCAATTTTGGCACGTGCAGAGCTGGGGAGGGCACTGAGCTCAGGGATAAATGACATGCTGTCACTTCTCTGGGCCAAGGCCACCACGGAAAAATGGCCAAACCTGAGGGTCTAGAAGGAAATTTCTGGACAAAAATGTCTGGCCAGGCCCTGGACATCATCACCTATGTCCTGTCTTGCTTTGTGGCTGGGTCACACAATGATCCCCAAGTTGGATTAATGCAAATTGTGCAGCTGAAAGTGCACAGGAAAGGAAAACACCCTTTAGTACAGGCAGATGTGGAGTTTCAATTTGATGTCTGGGAACACATTGCACTGGGAGCCAGGAGAAGATGGGGCAGTGGGGTAACTTCTGTCAGGATTTTCATTTCCCTCTCTTTTTAACCTCTAGATCTTTGACAGTGCTGAAGGAAAGTTGGGCAGGGCCATCAGGACTGTAGCTCTCAGCTCAGATTCCAGCTGCATCTGAAGCTGCTTTCTCTGTACTATTTATTGAAAATAAAGCCTGGAATATTTCAGCATAGTGTGGAAGCTTGTTATAAAACAAAACAAAATTTAAAAAAAGGAAAGAACATTCCTAGAATTTCAGAAATCTTTTTATCTGTGGAAAAAAAAAATCTAAACAGTCTCCGTATTTGCTGGCTGTCACACCATGGCTCTTTGGGCAGTCACTGGAAGGATGCAGTGGAGTTCCTGAAGAAATGTGCCCTCAAGAGGTGCTCTGGACAGGTTCTGTTCCATGTCTGTCTCCATATTGAACAAATTTGGTGATTTTTTTTTTTTTTTTTTTTTTTTTTTCTAGCAAGTTTGGTGGTGGTGTTGCATGTTTTTAGAATGAACTTACTCTTTGCACTACTTCAGGATCTTTATCAAAGCCCTGGCTGCTGGACTTATGGGGTTGCACAAGAGCTGCTTCTGTCACTTGGAAAACCAAAGGAAAACCCAGGTCCAAGTGGTTTCAGGGGTAGGGTTTAAAGTGTCCAGAAAAACCAGAGGTCAAGCCTGGGGACAATAAAAGCCTATTCTTCTTTCCAAGAGCCTCAAAGCACACTGTGAGGAGTTGTCCTGACTGCTTTAGAGGATGGAAAGTGCTGACAATGGTGCTGATGTGTGCAATAAGGGGCAGGACAGAGGCAGTTCATGGCAAGGGTCTCTCTAAGGTGAGAGGTTCCATACAGATGTTGGATTTCTGTTTGCAGAGTGCTCAGAGCTGTTTCTCCAAATTAAGACTTTGGGGTTTCACAGTGCCAGTTACTCTATACAACCCCAGAAGGGGCTCGAGATAAAGCAAATGTTGTTGCTATAGAATCTTCTGAAAATCACAGCCTGTCCTGAAAGCAAGGAGAATGTGCTCAGCTCAACGTCACCACCAGCAGAGCCTAACTGAGGGCAGTATAACACTTCAACTGAAAATATTTCTGTTCCTATTATGTCTTCCATCCAAGAACTTAATGGCTATTTGGTTCAGCTCAGTCCTGATGATTGATTTCTCCTGGATGCTGGGGTGAGAATTGTTTTAACAGTTTACAGATGGACAAATGAAACAGGGAGGTGTCCGATGCATTGCCCAGCACTGTGAGCTAAGCCAGTGGCAGAACAGTTGTATCCCTGTTTGATCCCAGCCAGGTTTAATCCCACTTTTTTTTTTTTTTTTTTTAATTCTGTAGCAGTTTGACTTCTTCCCTAGCCTGTGTACAGTTTAATAACTGAATCACAGCCATAGGAAATTATGAGGCTGAAGACACTGATGAAGACCTTTCATAATGATATTTATCCTTCTTGTTCTAAATCTGGAATAATCCTTATTGCAATAATTTCAGTTCTGTGAGATTTATTAACTTTGCACGGTTGTTGCTGCTTCTGTGCCTGTGTATTTAACAGTCTTCCAAATAATTTACTCAAGCTCACAAGTTTTAGGAGCTTTTCCAGGATGAAAGAGAAGGGAAAGTAATATGTTCACCCAGAGTGTTTTCTCTGTCCCTCTTTTGTCTATCATTAATTAGGAAGGGTTTCAAGTGATAAAACCAGCTTGTTGTTATAAGTCATCCACATGCTAAATTAAAGTGGGCAAACTGACATGGCAGTTAAACCCTCAAAGCCTGAAATCAATCAATAAAATCTATGGAAAATTACTCTGAGCAAATTAACATCCTTTAATACATAAATGCAATTTTTTCCCCCATGTCTCTGCATAAAAGCTAGTCAGAAATTTCTTGTGCATCCCAATCTCATCCCAAGAGAGGTGTCATACACTCTCCTCTTTTCACCTGCACCTCTTCACAGGAGTCCATAACTCTGGAGTGAAGATGCTGGGATAAAGCAGCTGAAGGAGGTTTGTGTTGTGTCCTCACTTTCTGGTAGATTTCCCCCAAAACATCTCTTTGACTCTTTCCTTAAATGTGACCATTCCAACCCTACTGAATGTGCATGCAGAGAGGACAAGTGGATGCACAGAGGTTTGAGGAGCAGAGCTGGTGCATCAGAGAGGTTTAAAGAGCAATGCAACTTAATGGTTTCTGGGGGCTGAGGACAAACACCATCCATCTTTCTGTGTACTCTTGCAAGCACTCAGCATTAATATCTGAGGGCCTTTTAGTGCCACTGAAGAATTTATTCTCACAACACCACTGGGAGAAGGGATTTCATGGCTTTAATTTCAGTATCAGTAGGAATTTGAGAAACTGAGCTGTAGAGCTGTTGCTTTCCACTCAACTCCTGTCTATGGGTATTGTCAAAAGATTACCCGATGAGATAAATGAACTAGAGAGTGTCCCAAGAATTCTATTCCCTTCCTATGCATCAGTGTTTCGAGAGCTCTAAAGACTTTGAGTGTGTGTAATTGTTTCAGATTTGGGCTAAGTCACCCCAGATAGAAAGTGCAACAAACTGAAGGGCTGGGGGTGTTTTTAATTGAATGGTCGAAAGCTGACAGTTTGCTGAAGGAGAAAAGAATCTGAGGTTGTGAAATGCAGGAGTTCATTTCTCTGCCAATAAAGCTCTGGAATGGGATTTCTAGATGTTTTCTATCAATAAATTGTTCTAATAAAATGTTGTCTTTACGCAAATTGAAATTTTTTGCAGGAAAATACTGACTTTGCTGAGTTGCCCCCTCCCCTTGGGAAAATTTAAACAGGGCTTCCTGGCTTCCTGCTGGGAAGATTTTTGCCAATTTTATTTTCTGCCTGAAGGGAGGAAAACAAATTGATGCATGTTTTCCAACAGCCAGCAGAGCTGGGAGGAGGAAGGAAAGGCCAATTGCCCTGGCTGTCTGCCTGCCACACAGCATGGTCACCTCTGCCCATTGGGCTGGGCGGGAGAAGCAGAGGTAGGGGTCCTGGAGGGATGCTCTCCAAAACCTACCCAAAATGCTAGTGCCAGTTTGAATGAATGTTAACCTATTTTTAAAAAAACAATTTTTTAACCTCTTGTGATTTTTTTAAGGAGAGAAGGATGTAAATTTGTTCAAATTTTTTTCTCCCTTTGGAATGGATTTGCACCTTCTGGGCTGGTCCCCTATTCAAGACCTAAAGGGAAGTTAAAAGACAATTGCTTTTGAGGAGTCTACAATACCTTGGCAGCTGGAATTCCATCAGATAAGCAATATTTGATTAATATTGGACAGTAGGAGGAGACAAAATGGGATAGTATGGACATATTGGAAAAGCACTCACAAGAGTTACTCATGGATTTGCAATATTCCAGCATGGGCTGCCAATGCTGCATTAAAATATTGCCTCAAAAGCAATTCCTTAGACCCAGTCCATGATAAGCTGATGAGCAACCCCCCTCCTTCTCCTTTCCACATATCTCTTTCAATGATATTTTCACCCACTTCCTCTATCTCCAGTGGCTCAAGCAAGGTTAGTTCAAACAAATTTAAAGCAGGGGTAAGTATTGCCAATTCAAGTCACGTGTTTTCCAGTCTGTCCCTGGGACTGTCCCCAGGGCAGGGATCCCTTGCTGAAACAGGTCATCACCCCTCTCGAGGTGAGAAGAATCAGGGGAGTGGTGACAAGGGAAAGGCAGGAAAAGGACAGAATCAGGAGGCAAGAAAGAGGTTTGCAGAGCAAGGAAGGCATTCAAGATATTACATTTCTTTTCTCACTGTACTTTACCCCAAATCCTGCCACAGCCTTCCAGGAGGAGGGGGAAGGGCATGGGCTGATTTGCATCTTATGTTACTGCTGACAGTAGGAGGTCTTAATTGGGGCACCAAAGAGCAGGTGTATGCTAGCGTTAATCTTCCCTTTCACCTGTCACTCATGCAATGAATGTGATCTCTCCCTCTCATTAGCAGCCCTCTGTCACATGCTGGGGAGCTTTGGAAGGGTCCCTCTGAAACTCGTTGGGATTGATTTTCCTGCCCGTGCTGCGTTATTATTGCCAGACCCCGGACAAGCGCTCCCAGGGAACACATCTGCCCGGTGGAGGTATGGATAAGCACTGCCTAATGGCCTCAAATTATGTGTGCCTGGTGGAGAAATGATCAGGAATTCATGTATTGGCCTGATGATAAACAGATAGAGACCGTCTCGTTTCAAAAATAACGCATTGTGCGCTCGAGTGTTACAGAGATGACCTTAGGAGGAAAGTTAATTTAGCAAAGATACTCAATTTGGTGTTATCTCCAAATGTTGATTCCTGGAATCATTACTCACTCTATAGTCAGGCAAAACTTCCCTGGATTTCAAGGACTCCAGCTGGAGCCAAGAGGAAATTGGCCTGGGAGAGGATGAAATAGTAACTCTAGAATTTGAACCTCCATCTCTTGCAGTTCACCTATCACAGCAATAACAGCCTAATCCTTTGCTTGAGCCATGCAGAGTATTAGGAAACAATTCTGAGCAGCCAAGAGCAGCTAAACCTGCTTTGCTTTGCTCTCTGTGCACCCTGAACTATGTGTCTTGTGAGGAACCTACTGTCACGACAGCGATCTCTGTGTCCCAGCCACACATTTCCCACAAAGAGAAGGGGAAAAAGGCAAATCACCTCACAAAGAATTTATCTGAGCTTTTCACATTTTTCTATCACTGCTCTGGAACGCGTTCCACTCTGGTTCACCCAGAGGTGAAATAAATAATTATCTTTGGGGGAAAAAATTCACATGGCTAAAAGTATTATATTCTGAGAGCAACAGTTTTTTGGCTGTGAGTGGGATCCAGGGGGATGAGCATCAGCTGCAGCCTGGGTTCTGAGTCAGAGCAGAGTCCCATGGGAATCACAGCTGCTCCAGGGCTCCAGTGTTGGTTATTTCCTCTAGGATGATGATGGCTGGCCTCTTCTTTTATCATTCCCCTCCGTTGCTGGGAGGTGGCTTTCTTTATCATCAGATTCCTTCCAAAAGCAGTAATACTGTGATTCAATAGAATGGAAACCAAGAAACAAACAGGACTGACACATTGCATTAGTAATGTAATTCAAACTCATAATCTGTATTTTCCTTGCTGAGGTTGGGTCATGGTATGAGACTTTTTTCTGAGATTAGGAGGAAAAAAATCCCTGAAATATCTAATTGTGCAGCCCTTTTGGGGATAAAATATTCAATATTCAGCTCTCCTGTAGAGGGAAACAAGGACTTTTAGAGGAAGAACAAATATTCACTTATAGAAGAACCAATATTCCAGTAAATGTGGCAAAAATTGTGATGTCCACCCTGCTCTTATTGTAATTTCTCCATTGGGCAGTGGAAAGCATTTTTTCTAAAATTCACAACCCCCTTATTGTCTGTTTTTTAGTGAATCTAAATAATTGAATTCTTCAATTCTTGTGTTTACCTAGTGTCCTACAATGAAGCAATTACCAAAACTACCAGGAAAAAGCACAGAATCGGGAGTAACATGATTGACTTTAAGCATATGAATGTTACAGGCTTCATAACTTGGCAAAGTGGGACAGGGAAGTGCCAGACTCCCTGAGATCCCTACAGTAAGGATGTGCTTTGCCATGATGTTGGATGGGAGTCTAAAATCTCTGTTATTCCAGTCCATGAATGTGTTGTCTTGAAATGTACAAGCTGCAATTAAGAGCTATTGGATAATAACTATGCCATGAAAACGTCCTAAACTATTAAAGAGCTGAAGATGATAGCGTGCTTTTAATGTTTCACATAAACCATTTGGGATTTGAAGAACTTTCAGTTCTTCGTGACGAAGTTGGAATATATCCTTGCTTGGGTTAAAGGGAAGGAAGAGAAAAAGCCCTGAATTAAATTTTTAGGCTCGACACCCTCCATTTTTTTACATATTGCTCAATTCTAAACAAGGAAAATAAAATCAGCTTTGTTCATGAGCATATGCTTTTGACTTTTTTTCTTCTTGGAGCCTGTGAATTATTAATAAACTAATTTCTCTTTATAGTTCAATCTTTGGAGACTTAAAGCGCTCACTCAAATGCACTGAATAAGAGGAATGCTTCAGCTCCAATCAGTTCCCATCTTCTTTGGAAATGCTGGCCTTGAGGTATCTTTGAGTCTTTGAAATCAATCTTTTATTCAGCTGGGAATTTCTGATGGCTTGGAGGTCTGGTCTGTTAATTCTGCCTAATGCCCTGTTTAAGTATGGGTCGTTTCTATCGGATGATTTTCTGCTTTTACTTTGCTGGAGGACTAAGAGTATCCCTTTTTCCCTTTGCTACACCCCTCTTCCTTTGTCTCCAAGTGGAAACAAAAATGTTTGTTGGGCTTAACAAGTAAGTGGGGGATGGGATGATCAAGAGAATTCCCAAAGTGGCACCTAGGTGAGATCTTGTGGAGTTTTCCAAAGCCAGATTAATACAGCTTGATCTCTAGCATCTGGAGTGCAGATATCAGAGGGATCTCTGTGCTGTTTTGATGTTTTTCATCACTCCTGCCTCACCTGAGGGTTTCCAATTCTTGGTTTATCAGTAGCACTACCACAGCTAAGGGAGAGGAGAGGGGGAAATCAGGGAATGAAGGAGGCCAGGGCAAAACCCTGAAGTCCTGTGTCCACCAGAATGTGAACAGCCTACAACAACTGGGCTGTCCAGTTTTGTCTGCTGTCTCTGGATCATTTGGACCAAGATTTGGATCATAGAATAACTGTGTAACATCTTCCATAGAAGGCTAGCATGAAACAAAAATTACAAGACTGGGAGTCTTTTAATTTAAAAATGTGATTTCTTCTTCCCCAGAGCCTGGGCTGAAAGCTGGACAAACTAATTTCAATTGCGATCCTGTGAAACAAAAGCTCTCAATGATAAAGCAACGTTGTTTGGTCCTTCCATTCTCATGCTTCTAAAAAAAGCTACCAAATGACTGAAAAAGGTCCACATGAAATTTAAAAATAGGCTGAGGGACTGGGTTACAAGTCACTGAGCTCCATGTGGTCAAATAAAAACAACTACAGCAAAAAATTACAGTGCTAATTTAAGCTGTACAACAGAATTTCATTTACCAGAAGTATTTAACTAAAGAGAACCACATTAAGGCAGTGGCCTTCATTAACAAAAATGTCCTGTGCAGAGGTGACTTCCCAGTTAAAATTTTTTGGGAAAAAAATGTGTTTCCTGAAAGAAAATTTAAAACAAATCAGTTAAAGAAAAAATGTCAGGATTTCTCTAATGTCTGATGCGTTTCTTTTCCTCAGTTCTTACTTCTGGGGCTGTTTGGAGACTCTTGATTTCCTTTGTGGGATAAATCTGGAGAAGCTCCATTGGATGCAGAGCTTGGTGCTGGCTCTGAGCTCTGGTCATGCAAACCCGTGGTGTGAGCAGGGCTGGTGGTGGCACAGAGGGGCACAGCTGGGTTTTCTGCACAGGATTCATTTTCCAGCTCTCTCTGAGCAGCTCTGAAAGGCTGGGAAAACACATCCAAACTGGGAAAACACACCCAAACCTGGGAAAGGGAAATATTCCACTCTGCTGGTGTGCAGGGGGATCCCCAGCAAGGGACAAAACCAATTTGATTCCAGCCTCCCGTTGAGGTCGATGGGATTTGTGTACCTCAGCCCATGAAGGTCTTTGGGAAATTCCAGCCATGAAGGTTAATTATAAGCCTTTAATTAATCAGACATTCACTGTGGGCTGAAGTGGTCTGGCTGTCTGAGCTCCGGCAGGTCCTTAATTAACACCACTGGGGGCTGGGGAATGGGGTGACTTTGAGGCAGCTGCAGGTCTCTGGTGAAGGCTGGAATGAGGAAGGCTGGAATGCTCAGGATGGGGGCTGGAGATGCTGCCGGGGGCCAGGGCTGAGCCCTGGGCTGGGGACAGTGATTTGTGCCATCCACGTCTGGTGCAGAATGAGCCCCACTGGGCTCCCCAAGGTGAACAGGAAAAAAAAATCAAGGTTTCGTTATTCTTTATGCATGAAAAATTAGAATAAATTGGCAACTGGAATGAAAAATCCAAACTGACATTGGCTTACTTGGTGAAGCTTTTTAAAACAGGCCTCTTAATTTAAAATTGCCTTAAAATTGAGGTAGCATTAAATGATGTCTCTGAACTTCTTTTTTTCCATAAATGTAAAGAGTAAATTTTGAATGACACAAGAATTTATCGTCTCCTGTGTTTCTCTGGCCAGTTAAACTCTCTGACATATGTCTGGTGCTCTGGAGGTACCTGGGTCAGAGAGGGTCTTGAATCTCTGAAGAATATGGGAATATGGCCTGAGAGAGAACTTCTGGCCTCCCTCAAACCAAAAGCAAAGCAGCATTAACTTCAAGGGATCTGGGATTTCTCTCAAATAATATTATTAGCAATGCTTCAATGGTCTTTAACTTAATAAAAACAAAATGGCAGCATTAGAGAGAGATGCTTATGAGGGAATAAAAAAGCCATTTTGTTTCTCCCAAAATTACAGGAACTTTATTTTTTTTTCTCCAGACACACACTGCATTTCTAGTAAGAGGCAAAAATATGATGTAGGAGAAAAAAACTTTCAGTTGATGCACTGAAACATTTTTAACTATCCAAACAATGGAAACTGCATCCATGAGAAAACCAGAGAGGACTCCTAAAACACTATGAAGCCAACAGAAAAAAAAAAAAAAAAGAAAATAAATATCCCCATTCCTGGTGGAAGCCTGTTTCTTTAAGCAGCTGTTTCTTGTCTCTGAGGTAACAAAGTTGTCATGTGATGCATCTGTTACCATGGCAATAATCTGTAATTGTGCAGAAAATCCACCAAAGTAGCGTGCAAGTCCTTGGTGAATTGGACGGAGAGAAAAATCGCCCCTGTGCAAGCCTTGAATTGATGCTGTTGTGCAACTGCCTTGGCCAAGGCAGCCCAGCTTCACCTCCAATGAATTTCCTGTGTTTTTTCGCTCTGCTGCTGGTGCCCAGTGTTTGCCTGGTGTTTAAATACCCTCCCCACTGCTGCCCCCACAGCTGGTGTGTCGTGGGCATCTTTTCCACCCTTCTCTGCCACATTCAGGGCATTTTACAGAAAGGATCTGGAAACTGCTGCTGTTTTGGCCAAAAGTGCAAGGACTGTGACTTTCGAGTCATTTTTTTCCAAGCACAGGTGGTAAAATGGCACTAAATATTGGGCCCTGCTGCAATTGCAATGGGAAAGATGTTCCCATGTTTTTTTATCCCTCTCTCCCAAAGGGGCAGCCCCCAACACCTCCATTGGCTCTGCCTCCATCAAGATGTGTCGTTTCACCAGCACCTTGGGAACAGCTCCCACACACCCTCGTGTGCATGCAATATTTGTATTTATATACAATATATAAATTTAAATAAATCTTCTGCTAGCAGGCCAAGTTCAGAGTCCTTAAAAACCAACTGAAAATAGAAACAAAGAAGGATGGGAAGATGAAATCTGAAGAAGTTTCTGCCGTGCATTAGTCATAAAATAAACTGCTGGAATTTACAAAGAAAATCCTTGAGCATCTTGAGTCATCTGCTCATGATATCATTGGGCTAAAAGTGCTTGCTACTATCCAAATCAAAATGCCAGGGAAGTCTCATGAGAATATGCCTCGTGGGCAAATCCCAAAAGGAGAACATCTGGATTTAAGATGCCATTGCCCTGTACTTAACCCTAAGCCGCTGAGAAAAAATGACTATTCTCCCGCTCTCACTCTCTCTGTGTTATTAGTAAATATTTATATTATACAAGCACCCAAAGGCCTCAAATGAGAGTAGGCTTCCATCTTGAGGCTTGTGCAGGCCTAACAGAGAGAGGAGCCCCTTCTGCTCTGCAGGGCTTGCTCATTGTTTATTTTTCCTCTCAGCTATGGTGAGATGAGCTGCACCTTGCCCAGCAACTGAGTTATTGGAATTAGAGGAGACCCTCATTTCTTCCACAGGGGGAAAAATGTGTTTTGTTAAGGGAGCTGAGGCAGATTAGAATCAGTGAAAACTCTTTTGTGCCCACACCAGCAGTACCACCTTTAGCTTTGCCTACCAGGCTCTGATATAGCCTCTTTACCCCGAGTTAATAACATAAAACTGCTTTGTCTTCCCTTGTAGTGTAGGTGTTAATTAGACTGATGTGGATGACTTAATACCACTCACACTGATATTCAAGCCTAAAACCAGACCTTCTTGGAGCCCAGCATTTGCAGAGAGTGGATTCACATTCTCTCCCTTCCATGCAAGTCCCTGCCTGTCTTTTGAGGCTGACACAGGTGCCTCACCTGCAGAAGTGGGGCTGCTCCTGAGGTAGAAAGGATCTTACAGAAAGTCATTTGCTCTCTCATGTGTACTGCAGCTGAACCCAACCCCACTGGGTGTGTGACCTGAGAGCTGCCTTTTTCCATCTGGTTTTGAAAGATGGATTCTGACATTTGAGTGAGGGGAGCCTCCTTCCACCATGACCTGAATCTTCTGCAACTATTTCTGAAGGGGAGGTTATAACCCCAGTGTAAACTAGATGAAGCTTCCAAAAATCAATGGCACCTTTTCTCCATACAAACTTCCCTCCAGACTCTTCTGCTTGGTGGTTTCTGGTGAGATGGAAACAACCCAGTAACACCCTGGGTGAACCTCCCTATTGCTGGAGATGTTCCACAGCTGTGCACTCCTCAACACACCTGACACGGGGAAAACACAATTAGCAATAATTAACTGAAATAAGGCCTGGCCTGGGCTTTCTCACTGGGAACACCGAGTTTATAAAAGCTTTGAGAAGAGCAGAAGGGATTTGGTTTTCTTGGTGGTGGAGCTTGGTTTCTCTTTGGGAGTAGCATGAGTGGTGCCTGAGGATTATCCCTACCTGTTGTCCCTCAATTCCTCCTTCCCTGGGAAGCTGAAGAAGAGGTAAAGGGATGGTGTGTCTATGTGATGAATTTGGGAGGCCTCCAAGGAAAAAGGTTGATTTGGAACAACACAGGGCTGGGTCTTCCTGGGCTTTGCTCCTTGGCTCTGCCCTGAGGATTGGCTGCTCCTCTCCCACCCTTTTGCAGCTTTCCTGCTGGTCATGCTGAGGCTTTTCCCCTCTGGAAAGAGCCCCCTGGAGCTGACTCACCATGCTCCCCCTGCCCTGTGAGATGGGAAAGCTGGTGTGTCCCCTGTGGGAAGCCAAGAAACAGCAGCCGAAGCAGAGCTGTTCTGAAATAAGTGCTTAGGAATGCTCTGACCTCTTGCTTCACTGATGCACCACTTTTTTCCTTTTTTTTTTTTGTGGATTTGTTGCCTTTTTTTTTTTTGTGTCCCAGCAAGAACACTAAAAGATCTGCTTGTACATAACTTTAATCTGTATGCTCACATACAGAGATTCAGCCTGGGCCGGGGCAGAAGAAGGGGGCTCACAGCTCTGCCTGTTGTAGGTGTTTGGGGCTCCAGACAGCTGTGACAAACTGCAGCCTTTTTACTACCTTAGAAAACATAATGGACCACTTTTGTAATTTTAGCTGTAAATGCACTTCTGCTGTATCACAGGACAGTGCTTGAGTATGAGAAAAGAGAGAAATACAAGAAGTGCAGAAATTATGTGGTGACAGGCCAAAGAACAGAGCTTATAACACACCCACAGAGTGTTTCCTGTGAAAACAATATTCTCCTGGTTCTGTTCATGATGCTCTTGCTTGCCTGCTTTAAGGAGTAATTTCTCAGAGCTATATTTTAGATGTTCAGCTCTTGTAAACTCTTCACAGTTTAATACATTGCAGCCTTTCTGTTTGCCAAGCTTGAGTCACTGGATTAAAATTGCAGCCGCCACCACAGCCATCAATGTTTCTGTTAACTTCCCGTCTCCTCTCTTCCCAGGCTCTACCTAATAATGGCAACCTGTGATCCCAGTTTGTGCTGCACAGATGACTAAAGAACATAAAGAGCTCAATCTTTCTGCAATTTGGAAGCAAATAAATAAGGTGAGAGCTATGTGTGCCCAACTTCGCTTGGGTGAAGTTGTATCGAGCAGTAAAAGTCCTTGTGCTGTGTGGTCATGGGCTGAAAAGAATGATGAACACTGATGGTCCTAGATGTGCACCTGAGGGAGGGATGGCCCTCAGGGAGGGTGTCTGCTGGTCTGAAACTGCTGCTATAGAGCAGGAGCAGGAACTGAGATTCCACATGGACTGCAGTGATTGCCGGACCCAGCTGGGAAGGAATTGTCTCCTGGAGGAAGTTGGTTGATGTCCTTAGGGATGCAGTATGGTTTGCAGGGTAGGATCCGCTAAGGAGGGAGATCTCGCCCACTGTTGGCTGGGGCTGAAGGTGTTGCTGTCCCTCTTGTTCCTGTCTGACCCATGGGTGGTGGATGTGGTGCTGCTGGTGAGGTGGTAAAGGCTCTGTGGAGTGCAAAATCGTGAGTGATGAGATGGTTCCTTCTGGCCTCAAAGCCTGTGAAATGGAAATCTAAGGAAAATTCTGTCTAAAGAAGAGGCTGCGTTGAGGCTGTGTTGGCTCTTATGCTGTTAGTTGCTGGCAGTGAGGCTGTGGTGGAGAAAGGCTCAGGAAGAGCTTCATTAGCACCAGCACAGCACAAGTGCCTGCTGATAGATAAATGCTCTGGAAACTTGTGCAGCAAGGAAGGAGATGGTACCAGGGGGAGTCTGAAAGGCCAAAGCAGAGCTTTTGGAGGCCTTGATGTTTGAATAAAGTCACCTGAGGATGCATCTAGTAGAGCTGGGGATGTGGGAGCAGAGGAGGAGCCTTTAAGGTTGTTTAAATCTTTTAGCAGAAATCTCAAGCTATAAACGGAAACATTTCACTCTAAGTCAATAAAACTGATCCAGTTTTTGTTAGAAAAAACCCTCCCATTCAAGCCATTAAAACTAACAGCTCAAATCCCTTAAGGGAGCCAGCTCCACAGGCTTGTGTTTCCATAGGGTTTACTGGCAGATTGCGCCAGTTACCTTCCATGCTTTATTGAAAGGAATGCTGGCACTTCAGGCACGTGTTTCTGGTACAAGTTTTCCTAAAAGTGTTTGGATTTGTGTGCAGCCTGAGTGCTGGTGGCTAAAGGAGTCCATATGGCTCCACATCAGGGGAATGTGGGGCTGAATGTCCTGGGAAATCATCTTGTCACCACAGTGGGACACTCAGTTCCTAAAGGCTGAGTGTCTTGCTGGGTTGGAGATGTGATCAAGCATTGCATCTGTCCCTGCTGGGCTTGCTGTGCACTGCTGGTTGGGGCAGCAGGGAAGGACAGAGCTGCAAATGATGGAGGGAAAAAATATCTTCTTTCTAAATCTATTGATGTAGATACTTTCAGACATCTTGACATTCCCCCTCTTCCCTTCCTTCCCAAGGCCTGAGGTTTGAGCATCATGTTTTTATACTCAGAAACCAATCTGTTTGATAATCTGACTGGGAATAAGTAATGCAGCTACATACTTCTGAATACTTATATGTGCACAATCTGTTTGCTTGATATGCTCCAGTCTCCCTAACATCTGGTTCTAGCCAGTTGCTATCAGCCTCTTGGTTTTATAAGCACTAAATTCACTCAGTTTTTAATGCAGGGAAAAAAAAAAATACATCCCTAAGAGCATAACATTTACAAGCATTTTTTGTGGGAGTGGAGACAGGAGGCCAAGTTCTGCTCTCAGACAGAGTCCAGCCTTTGCATTTTTGGGTGGGCCTCCAAAACCATATTTTTTTCCTTAGGATGCCTCCTCTTTATCCAAACTAGACTGATTTCTGTTAGCTATTGTCATTTCAGTATGAATGGGTTTGGCATGGAGACTTGAGGGAGGGTCAGCAAGATGGGTTTTTGGGGTGCTTTTTGAAGGCCAGCCGGACTGTCCTACATGCAGGATGTGTGTGCCTTGGCTTCTGGGAAGGGAGCACAGGGGCAGACTGGTTTTGTGTTTCTGCTGGCCCAGCCTGCCAGTTTTCTCACCTGGTGTCCATGCAGTACTGCTCAGTGGAGCTGAGGGAGATAAATTGTCACTCCCCAAACTGTGCTCAGCATCTGAGCCCCACCCCAGGTGTCTCTTTCAGTGAGGCTCTGAGCATACCAGAGAAGACCTTGGTGCTCCAAAGTCATCTGCTCAGGATAAGCAGAGACAACCAAGGTTGGATTTTTATTGAGCACATATGGCAGTGGAGGACTCAAGGGCACAAGGCTACCTGACAGGCTCTTTTGAAATATATCCATAAAAAACCCAAGCATCTCCAAAACCACTGCTGTTAAGCCACAAGCAGAAAATCAATAGTGAGATGTATGCAAACACTCAAACCCTTGGAAAAAACAAATTCATGTTGCCTAAATGCAGTTTACAAAAGGGCTGACCAGGTTCTATTTTGCTGTTCAGCCAAGTTATCTTTTCACTACCACATTCTCTTCGTGTTTTGGTGTTCACCCTCTTAGGTGAGACTCTGAGACCTGAGAGCTCTCCCTAAATAATATGAATAATAACTTCCTTGAATAATTTTAATTATGATGTTAAGGTTACCAGCAACGTTAGCCATGCTAATTCTAACATGGATAGCACATACCAGTGGTCTTGTCTTCTCTGCAAGAGGAGCACAAATGTGTTTGGGAGGAAAGAGAGATGGCAAACCAGAAATTGCCCATACTTTTAGTCTCTGAAGCGTTGCAATTCACATATGGATGGAATTTAGCTCTAGGATAACATAATGTAGCTATAAGTGGAATCAATCTGGTCCACTAATTCTCTTTCTGCCTGTTTTGTTTTAAAGGCAAACTAGCTTCACTTTACACATATCCATAATGGGTTGTTGAGGCAGGTAACCATGTGAGCTGCTGAGTAGGGCCTTGTGGGTTTTCTTTTTGAGCCAATACTCACGTTCTGGAAAAGATAAGGGGGAATAGACACACTCCTTGTAGAAGTCCTGCACTTGTGCTCCTGAACTGCCTGGTAATGGTGTGGCATGAATTTAGATCCTGCAGGATTACATATAGGTTTCCACGGTTATTTTTTCTGTTGTTACCAAACACTTGAAGCAAGGCTGTGCTGTGGTCATATAGACAGGAAAATGACATCATGCTGAAAACCACTAATCCAAACGCTTTGGAATCTGAAAGGCAAACCATATTCTAATTAGAAACAAAAAAAAAACCCCAATGACATTTGAAATGGAGAAATTTCTTGGATTATTATTATTATTTTTAAATCCTCCCCTGGCTTCCCTTCCAGCCAAGGCTATGACAAGTGCATAGGAGCTGATAATAAACACACACCTCTAAGGTCATGGCTAGGATTTTTAATTTAAATAAATAAATAAAGATGAATTTTCCAGTATCCAGGGATCCAGCACTTGGAAACAAGCAGCACAAAGTGTGTTCTGCAGGGTCAGTGTGGAAGGTGGCTTTTAATTTTTTTTCCTTTTCTGTTTAGCAATGTATTTTTCCCTTATTTGAGAACACAAAACAGCCTTATTCTGTACTTCTCCCTGCCAGGTTGGAAGGTGGTAACTATAGGTTTTGGGATGGTGATGCTTTGTAGGAATTATTGACAGTGTGGGAAGACACAGAATTAGTCACAGCAGCCACACTGTTTTAAGAGGTCAGCAGATGTGACCAGCTCATCCTGCTACGGATGATGAGAGCTGGCCAGAGAAATGTTGAAGAAACCATATTCCACCAGCTGTTGATGTGTCTCTCAGTGCTGCTGAACCTTCTGGAAATAATTCAACTTTGTTTTCTGGGTAAAAGAGGGTGGAGGAATTTCAGCAATGTTAAAATTGACTTATTGACACACACAAAACTCTTATTTTGAGACAAAGTTTCTTTAAAATTTCTCTCCTAAGTTTCTTAGCATTCTGTGGGACCTAACTAGGAAGTGATTGAAATGGAAATGAAATATTTTAATCCACAAAACCTGCTTTTATTTTTTCCTTAGAAACTTTTGCAGAAAACTGAATTTTGGGGAAAGAGGAGGGTGTATTCCTTAGAAGACAACAACACCTTGAGCTCCTAATTATAAATTCTTTGGAAAATGCACCCTCCATCCTTTCCAAATTGAGTCAGTCATTTCTCAAATGCAGCAAAGCCTGCTGTCACTTCCCCCCTCCCCTGTAATTCCCAAAGATGCACTGCAGGTGTTGGTGTCTATGGAGACACTGGAGCTGCTGCTTTGTGTCATCCCCACTCAAGAAATCCTGTTTGAGTGGCCCCTTGTTTTTGCACAATGAGTTACATTGCAAGCAAAGCAAATGGTGCCTCCAGCTCCATCCTCTGCCTCTGCTCCCTTTACTGCTATCCCCATCTGGAGAATAATATAATGAGAATAGTTATAGAGGTTGTTGCAAGGAATCACCTACTATCACACACCTGCCAACGGGGTGGATTAACTGTCTGGTTCTTTTAGGAACAGAATAAATCCTGACATATTTTGAAAATGTATCCTCACTTCCTTCTGCATTTCTGTTCTGCTCAGTTTCATCTCGGTCATGGTTGGTTTTCTAAAAGTGCCACTATTCATATTGGATTTGCACCTTGCAAGCACCTGCAGGCTTATTGTTTGGCATGGCCTGTTCTTTATTGATTTGGTTTTTTTCTTGCTTTTTCTTTTGTGTTCTGTTTTGTTTTATAACATTTCATGGTGTAGACAGTGACTTTACGGGTGCTGGGCCAGCCTGCTAATTGGTTTCACATCTCTCTTTGAGGGTAGATTTAACAGGGTCTTTGCTGGCTCTTGCTTATTTTTTTTTCCCACAGAAATGAAAGTGAGAAGCAGCTCAATAATGTTACAGTGCCATTCATTTCTTCCTGCAACTGCCTCTGTGCAGACCACTGAGATAATTTAGTGGCTGAGAGAGGGCAGGGTTTGTGTGAGGTTCCCTGGACTAAAACAGGAAGGCTTTCCCAGTGTCACTGAGGAGAGAGCTGGAGCAAGGCTCAGCTCAGTGCTGGATATGAAATGTACAGATACCTTTAATGGCCAATGCAGGAACATTT